AAGCAGCAAGGAGGAAGAAATCTCTCACTTTCCCTCCACTCTTATAATCTCTCAAAGAATTCCTCACAATTTAGACTCTCTGCACTTGTTTCACACTTCAATTTTGAGTCTTCCCCCTTCCTAGGCTCTCCAATTTTCGGCAAAAATAGACTTTTAAAGTTGTGGATGAGCTTTCTCAAGAGTTTCATAAGCATACCTTCAAAATTTGGCCTTATCCAAAGACTGATTAGGCATAACCGCCGAGCTCGCCGTCAGCGGCCTCGAGGGCGCCGTCGGCGGACCTTCTTGATGAATTAATTATAGAGTCTCAGGAAAATATCACCGTCGGCGGGGTCGAGGGCGCCGTCGGCGGGCTACATCCATTTTTACATATTGGCCCCTTTCGGCGGGGTCGATGGCGCTGTCGCCGCCCTAGTTCAATTCTGCACATTTTGGTCCTTTTCGCTTTAAATTTGCTCCTTTTTGCATCTTTTTGCTTCAATGACCCTAATTCATCATTCCTGCAGCAAAACATCAAAAACACCTTTCTTTAAAGTGCAATATCATCAAAAATAGTATAAAATAAGTATAAAAATCTCAACATATTTTTCTTTGGTCATATACATATCGTTATCAAGTAATATAAAGCTTTCTGATTAAGCCCTGAATATCGATTCCATGGAGATCGAGGTTAATCACAGCGACTTTCAAGAGAATTTCTAGTCTATAATAAAAAGCCCTAGCTTGGAAGGTTGATAAAAGTTTGATTTTGATTATATCCCACAACTATCATTACATTACTACTTCTACTCTTAAATAAAATACCTAGTGAAAATCAGAAAGTGGGGTTCAATATATTAAAAACACTCTTCCTCATGTAATGAAATTTGTGACATGTGTAATGTGACATGTGTAAAAGTAGACATGTGTAAAAGTAAAACAAGTAGTGAGAGAGATTATGACAAATAGGAGCAATTATATTCTTACCCTTAATTGAGATGCTATAAAGAACATTCGTTAATCTAAAGTTTGAATAATTCTGAAGACGGGCTAGGCAGGGAAGATACTAGCTCTCACTCTAGAGTTCCCTCTTATCCATCCACCTGGAGGCTAACATCTCGCATCAAAACCTAAAACGATAGACCAAATTAGGGTGCTTTAGCCTGTCACTCTAAAGTCCTCTTATTTTACACCCATTA